CTAGGCAGTAATGAGATGGCTGCTAATCTCCCAAGGATGGTACATAGGGCTCCTCTTTCTTTCCAAGTCCCCTGCCTCCCCTTCCCCACATTTTTAGCCTAAAAATCCTTGTTCTCTCTCAATCCTTCCAAACAGGTGAGTTCATAAAGATCTGAAGAATGCTAATGCTCATAGAGAATCATAATGGTTTCTACCACAAAGGAATGAATCTCTAAAGACAGCATTTTAGACAAAAGGGAGAGAATGAGAATTCACATTATTAAGTATATTCTGTGCCAGAAAATGTGATGTGTTCATTCAATACTTGCAACAACTCAGGATATATTTATGAAAGCCCCATTTTACAGATGAGCAATGTTGGGCTCAGAGTCAAGAGGAGCCATGAATGAATCCAAATCTTTCTAGCTCCAAACTTAAGGGATTCCTACCTCTTTCCTCCTGCCTTACTGAGGACAGAGTGGGCTTCTTAGTCCCCTCCAAAGCTCACCATGGAGTTGAAGGTCTACTGCAAGGAGTGGGCCAAGCGCTGACCTTCCCCACTGTATAAAGGGCATTCTAGGACCCAGACTAATGGGAGACCCAAAAAGAATCCAAGCAGCGTGCATTGTACACAGTAAAATGTTGCATGGATGTGCATTTTATTAGTCTCACATTTCACTCATTTAATGTTGTCTTCCAGGAAAAGGAATCTCAATATCTATAGCAAATCTAATTCTAGAGTAGGAAGGGAGGAAAACTTTACTGCTAGTGTCAAAAGCCAGAGAGAAGAGCAGCCTGAGAGCCAGGCTTCAGACAGCAGAGAGAGGGGATGAAGGCTGCCCTGAGGTCACAGTCTGGCAGCACGCAATGTATCATCAGAGTGTCACCTAGAGAATAACCTCTGTGGCCTTTCCATTCTCCTCAGAGGGACTCATGGGAGCAGACGTTGCCTGACGGTCTCAGCCAGCCCGACCCTGTGTCTGCCGATGCCCTGCAGACCTTGCCACCCAGCACGAGTTGCCTCTCCCAGCTTGAGTCTGGGAGCACCGCCCAGCACAGGGGCTCCAGCTGGGGGACCTCCCTGGCTGGGGCTCAGTCCTACTCGCTGCATGCTCTGGAAGATCTGCACCACACTCCGGGGTACCCCACCCCACCTCCTTACCCCTTCACCCCTTTCATGACGGTGTCAAACGACCTACCACCCAAGGTGGGGCCACTCTCCCCAGATGAGGAAGCAGACACCTGTTCCCTCCATGACCCTTCCCCTTGGGCGAAAGAAGATGGGAGCATCGCCTGGGGGTCATATGAATGCCGCAGAGCTTATTGAGGGGGAGGGCCAAAGGACTTCTGGGTTTTTCTTCAACTTGAGGTGTATTCCGAAGATTGTTTTAGGTGTGTCAGCTCATTCAGGACTGGATCTTCAGAATAAGCCACAATGCCGCCCTTTGTTAGTGGATGAGGGCATTTATTTGTAATCTTCTCCACCGTAGCCCCACTGAAATAAAACAGAACGTTAATTAAATGTATCACAGACCGTATTCTAGTAAGAGGTCTTTTTGGAACTGTTGTAATCCATTACGTTCTGAATCTTCTGTTATCTTTGAAGTATCATTTTTGGCACTGATTTTTTTTTCCTAAATTACATTAAAAAGTTTATGCAGATCATAAAAAATACTGATTTTCCTGTCAAATGTTTCTTAGTTATAAACTATGTGTATTCTTCAGTAAAAGACACTAGATAGGATATAATATAGATATGAACACATAAAACAAAACTCGTTCTATAGCATGTGACTTGAAAGAGTGAAGTGTTTTATATACATATATTTATGCCTTATTATAGTGATTTGTAAAAGCCCAGTTAAAAAAAAAAAAGGCATAATCTAAAAATATGTTATTGTCCATAAAATAGGATGAGATCAGGAGACTACAGCTTTGTAAATAACAAAGTTATTTTTTGAGTCTATCCTAAAGCCCAGGATGTCCCCAAATTAGTTCAATCCAAAAAAGTCCAAAAATTTTCTTTGATCAATCATGGCCTTAATTAAACCAGACATTGTCTCTCTGATGGAGTAAACCTACAGTTATCAGCATGAATGAGTAAAATAGGCATTCTATAATCAAATGGAAATTTATGCTTTTTTTTTTTTATTTTTGAGACAGGGTCTCACTGTCACCCAGACTGGAGTGTAGTGGTGCAATCATGGCTCACTGCAGCCTCAACCTCCTGGGCTCAAGCAATCCTCCTACCTCAGCCTCCCAAGTAGCTGGGACCCAGGTGTATGCCACCATGCCCAGCTAGTGTTTTCATTTTTTACTTTTTTTTTTTTTTTTTTTTTTTTAGTTTTTGTAGAGACAATGTCTTACTATGTTGCCCAGGCTGGTCTCGAATTCTTGACTTCAATCTATCCACCCACCGTGACCTCCCAAAGTGTTAGGATTACAGGTGTGAGCCACCACAACCAACCAAACTCATACCTTTTAAAGAAAATACAGAAAATAGGACTAAGCTGTTTGCAAGAAACAGACCACAAAACACCAAGAAGCAAAGGGGCTTTGGAGAAGGACATATCGCCACGTGATCGCCTTCTCCAAAGAGAAGGACATATCATGCCAATAGCCAATAGCTTGACAAACAGCCAATAGCTTGACAAACAGCACCTCCTATTTGGTGGCTTACTGGTCGGAAATGTACAGCTCTTACTTTGTGTCAATGAAGATATTGACATCTGAAGCATGAATCTGTCCACATTTGATTGGTGTGGGTGCCTTTACTAATTGGGTTCCCAGCATAATTCCAGCATGCCTATCTGTGGCCAAGCTCATCATACATGCCGAGTATACACTGAGACTTTGCAGATGCATGAGTGGAGGCTCCCGGGTTGTACCTGCACCCTTCTTCCAAGGTTCCTACCACCTGTCTTTCTGCACTTCATTCTCATATCTTTTCCACCCTCTGGTCCCTCCTGATCCAATGCCATTTCTCTCCATCTTCTGGAGGCCAAGGCCTTCATTTTCCCTCTCGTTGCCCAAAGCCCCTGAACACAATGTCCATCACATCCTCTGTGACTGTCCCATACTCTACCTCAGCAAGGTAGAAGCCCAGACATTCCAATAAGGGGATTAATTCACACTTACAAGCAAATAATTTATATTCCTTTTTTTCCAGGCCTTCAGGGTATTTTCTGGTTAAGCAAACACTCTTCTAGTTTATAGAGTGCCACCAGAAATGCTTGGGTAGTGAGCTTTCCTTCACCTCATCCTTTCGGCTCCCTCCAGGCAGAGCATTCTTCAGGGAACAGATCAAGAGTGAACGCATGGGGCCCTCTACTCCTAGGCAGCACTGCCAGGACCCCTGCCCCACTTCCTTCCCCTCCACCAGCTCCTTTGGGCAGCCTGAACTTTGCTTTGCTTAGTGCTTGCTCTTCATTGAAAAGTGGCAGCGTTCACTGTGCAAGAAAGGAACTGTTCTTTCCTAAATCCAGCATGACTGCAACCTCAGTCCTGGTTCCCAATATGGCTGGCAGAACCATCTGTCACTCAGCAGTTACTGATACCTGAAGAGCAGGCCTGTGCATCAGAAAGAAGACATGTGGCCCTCTCTGCAGGTATAGAGGTCTTCACAAGGGCCTCAGAGTCATTTTCCTAGATTGGCGTCATAAAGTTTAAAATAATTTGTCCTCTACTGCTTACCATTAGTTACTGGGTATCAATAACATGGTAATGGATGTGTAAATCATAAATATGGGTCCACACGACTTTAACTTTCATGTGATTTATGACACTGAATATTTTGCTTGTTCATGCGTTCCTTCATCTCCTAACAACTTGAAGATGCACTGGCTCTCAGACAAAGACAGCTCAACAACCAGACCTTGGAACAGAGGGAAATACAGGGAGCATGATGATGTTTACATTCTTCTTAAAACTTCCAATCCCTTTCATAGCATTTGACTAAATTAACTTATAAAAAAGAGACACACCCAGGCCCACGTATGCCTGCTAGTGTCCACTTCAGTTATCTAGTCTAAAAGGGGTCGGGGGAGTAGAGCTGGTGCTAATAATTCCAAATAATAAATGATCTTTAAGAATTCTGCTTAGTTTGACATGTGTCTCTGTATTACATATATTTTAATTTGATTCTGTTTTATTGTTCAAGGAATACTTTGTTAAAAGGTGAAATCAAGCTACAAAATTATGACAGGAAAATTAATTCTATTTCCTTATCCCATCCCATTTTTCTTTCAAGTACTCTGTTTTCTTTCCTTTCGTTCTTTCTTTCTTTCCTTTTTTTTTTTTTTTTTTTTTTTTTGAGACAGTCTCACTCTGTCACCCAGGCTGGAGGGTGGAGACCAGTGACACAATCTTGGCTCACTGCAACCTCCACCTCCCAGGTTCAAGCGATTCTCCTGCTTCAGCCACCTGAATAGCTGGGATTACAGGCATGTACCACCACACCTGGCTATTTTTTGTATTTTTAGTAGAGATGGGGTTTCGTCATGTTGGCCAGGCTGGTCTGGAACTCCGAGCCCCAAGTGGTCCGCCAATGTTGGCCTCCCAAAGTGCTGGGATTACAGGCGTGAGCCACCACACCCAGCCAATTTTCTACAACATGTGGGGACTAACCACACCTTTTCATAACAATGCGTCATGCCAACATTCAAAAATAGGTGCATTCTTCCCTCCCTCACCTTCCTTAAACCTGCTCTTCACTGACTTACAACCTTCCCGAGAAAGTCAGAGAAAATTAAAGAGCTCCGGTTCAACACTCCATCTCTTTCAGGTCTTGTAAGGACACAGAATATATTTAAGATTTAAAGTAATCAGAGATGGTATGTCAATTTCAAACCACTAAAGAAAGCTGACTAGATGGTAATGCCAAAAAGAAATCGAGCACAATTTGCCCATGCAAAAGCTGCAATATAGACAATCATGCCATGAACCACACGCAGTATGTAGTTGAAGGCATTTGCATTCCTCTTACAATATTATACAAACCCCAAAAAGGGAGAGAAGAAAACTACATCTTTACCTCATTTATTTAATAAATGATTTCAAGTGATCATTATGACTTGCTATAGCTCGGTTAATAATACAATATCACGGTACTATTGGGGTAGGGGGAAAAGACAGAAGTACTCTAAAAGAAACTGCACAAAGGGAAAATAATTACTAATGCCAATAGTAAAATATACATTGACATACATATATACATATGTATACACATGTGTAAAAGTATTATAGTATCTTTGTGATCAGTTTTTCAATATTTAAATATCTAAATAGTATAGTCATAGGAATAAAACATCAGTTATATTTAAAGTACCAAAATAACAATTGATGTCTGAGGTTTAAGTCACATTACATTATAGTGATTCTACCAACCACACCCAAATTATACTCTTTACTTAAGGCTCCATCATTGGGTTCTGTCTACAGTATCCTCTCTATGCAAAACAATGTTACACTGTTCATCTCACACACCATAGACTCTAGAGAGGTTAAGTGCAAAATCACATACTCTAGACAAAGAGTGGTTCTCCAGCTAAAGAGACTCATGGGGAGGACTAATGAATGGCTCACCTCTGTCCCAGCACCTGGCTCAGGGCCTAGAACATTGTAGACGCTCAGTAAATTTTTTTTAGATTGAACTAAAATTATACCATAAAGATGAATAACTTTCTAGCCCTTAGTTCTATGGGTGACAGCTATCTGAAACCAGTGTCTGAGAGGATTCTCACAATGTTTAGCATCTAACATTAGACATACTCTCTCCAAATTCAGACAGTAGGTGGATATTGGGCTTCAGTGGCAATATATTTAAGATGACTGGTTTAGTATTTTTAGATTTCTTTATGAAGTAAAATTACCGAAACTTTGAAATAGCGCAGAAAAAATGTTGATATATTCATTTACTATATACATGTACTATGATCTGTTGCTAAGAAATCTTACAAATAAAAGTTATTCAATGTTTGATCATTATCCCTGGTGTGATTAAAACAAGTATGATAAATAAATCAGGAACTAGAATCCTCAAAGGTCAAGCTAAATAAACATTAAAATCTTCTATAGTTATTTGCAAATGATGACATTATATTATATTTGATTTTTGATACGGAAGTATCCTCTGACAAGGTGTGGCAGTTCACGATGCCTGTAATCCCAGCACTTTGGGAGGCCAAGGCAGGAGGTTTGCTCAAGCCCAGGAGGTCAAGGCTGCAGTGAACCATCATTGCACCACTGCACTCCAGCCTGGGAGACAGAGTGAGACCCTGTCTCAAAAAAGAAAAAAAAAAAAAAAGAAATATCCTCTAATTATAACCTCTGATAAATTATATATGTGGATTTGCAATATGCAATGTCTTTGTTAGTACAATTTAAAAAAAGAAGAACAGTAAAAAATGTTAGAAGTTCCAAGAGGAAAAAAATGTAGACCAAACATACAATATCTAGGAATTAGCTCTTTTGGATTAGGAAAATTGATAGATGTCCCTGCTAAACTTCTCCCTAAGAAAATATCTTAAGAGTAGTAATCCAAAAGTTTTAATGGTTTTAATAAGTTAATTTAGTCATAAATGAAAGATGACTCAACTGTTTTATTTCTTAAGCTTGATAATATAGTCATAGACTTTCATCATGGTATTCTTTATATGTTTTTGTATGCCTTAAATGTTACACAGTAAAAACATTTTAAGTAATAGAAGAGGAATTCTTCAAGCAGTGTGTGATGGTGTTTTTCTTAGTTAAAGGATGAATTATCAAATGCTTGCTCCCCATGGAAGCCTCTTAAGGAAAAGTTAAAACTTTGAATATGTCTTATGGGAAGAGACTAATGTAGCACAAATCATTAAAAAACCTTCACCTAATAGTCTTTCTGGTCATTGTCATATGGACCAAATGTTCACTCTAGGGCCCAAAAAGCATTTGTTTCCTGCATGTATTCAATCTTCTGGAACTTGGTATTTCCCACAAAGTTCGATAACAGGGTCCTAAAGTCAAGGCGACAAAAGAACTTTGCATTAATAAAGACAATTTTGAGCTGTAGTCAAATTTGGAGGGAATAAACTATCCCTTTTCCTTATACTGAAAGTCTTTTAATATGCATGTGCCTAAGTTGAATAAAATCTCCTACATTGTGGGGGTAACAATGCTCTGCAGTGTCATTTGCATACAAAAGACTGCCAAAATTTCTCAGTCAAAATATTCAGTTTAAAACTTTGAAAAGAAATCTAATCTATTCCCATCACTTTGGGTGCCAACTGGGTATAAGAAGGTCGAGGTCAAATACGGGATTTCTGAGGTCAAAGGCAAGGATGGTCAGAGATCTGAAAAACAGTGATATGTGAAGAGCTAGAGAAACTGAATGAGGAGTCTCAAAAAGAGAAGGCTTGGGGTGGAGATGGGATGGGCATAACTTCTTCAGGCTTAGTACTGGACCTGGTCAGAGTAGCTCATCAGTTTATGGTTGTTGAATGAATGAATGAATGAATGAACCAATTAATGAACTAAACAAACTCACAATAGAAAAGCAGCAGTACAGAAGTAGGAGAAAAGAATAATTGATAGCAGAAATCAAGGCTTACTTATTTTTGTACTCCTGGTACTTGATACTATGCCTAGGACATAGTTGGTGCCCAATTAATACACGATTGGATTATAGCGTAATCACGGACCACTACATGTAAAGCAGTCCAATAGTGGAACAGGCTGCCTCACAAATAGTGAGCTCTCATTTCCTCTACACAGATTCTACTATGGGCCAGGATCTCAGCCAAGCAATGGAGCCAGAGGCTGGACAGACACAAGCAGAGATTTTGGAAAAAGACTCTGAGTCCCTCTCAGCACTTCAAAGATCCCTTCCAACACCCAAACATCAAAACCTTATGTTATATTGCCAAGCGAGGGTGCCTATGAATGCCTGTTGAAACCCCACAACAATTACTTCAGTCATTTATTAAAACCCCAAAGAGACTACCAGAACTTCAGGGCAAACATCCTAGGGGTAGCAATGCCCCCAGCAAGAGGGAAGAGTTCTCAGTCTAAGAGGCACAAACTGTAATCAGTGTAATTAACAGCTTACCCTCACTTCTAGTCAGGCGTTTCTTCAAGGTTCTAGAGTTTCCAGTCCTTACAGAACATTCTCAAGTCAGCAAGCTACACTGTCTTAGTCTCCTCGTACAAACTGATGGTAAAACAGATAGCACCCCAAAATATTTCCACATGCACAAACAACCTTGAAACGTGTGTTCGCATATCTTACAAGCAGGTATTTTTCCAATGCCATTCGCAGCCTATTAGTGGGTCATTAAATTAACTTAGTGACTCCCAGCCAACATATATTTTCCATAAATAGGATGAAATGGAAAAGGTGGACTAGAATAGAAAATATCAGACTGCCTCACATACATAGGTATACATTGTTTCATGAAAAGTTTGTTTTAGAAATACAAATGTTGTTATAGATACACATGAACGTGTAAAATGGATTTCTTATTGTAGGTTAAAGTCCAAAAAGTTTAAAAGCTTCTGGTAGGAAAGATCAGGAAGACAACATCAATAGTTAAGAGCAAAGGCCGGGCGTGGTGGCTCACGCCTATAATCCCAGTACTTTGGGAGACCGAGGCAGGCAGATCACGAGGTCAAGAGATCGAGACCATCCTGGCCAACATGGTGAAACCTCCTCTCTACTAAAAATACAAAAATTAGCTCGGCGTGGTGGCACACGCCTGTAGTCCCAGCTACTCAGGAGGCTGAGGCAGGGGAATCACTTGAACCCGGGAGGCAGAGGTTGCAGTGAGCTGAGATCATGCCACTGCACTCCAGCCTGGTGACAGAGTGAGATTCTGTCTCAAAAAAAAAAAAAAAAAAAAAAAAAAAAAAGCCAGGGCTTTGGAGTTAGGCCTATCAAAGTCTGAATCCTAATTCTGCTACTGATATGTTCAATGATCTTGGCATGCCACTTATTCCTCTGAGCCTGTCCTCACCTGTGGAATGCAAATGCTATACAATATAGCACCTAATGTCCAGTAAACAATAATGGGTCTCCTGTGAAGTCTCCTATGAAGAACAGCCAATGCTGTGGGAACCTGGGGTCTCAGGGTTGCTCTGGGCCTGATCATCCACTCAGATCTGTAAGGAGGATTCTCAGGATCCATTTAGAAAGATTCTCCCTTACTTCCACAAGCATGGCCTTTGGCTCTTAAATACCTGTGCTGGAGTTTTGTAATTATAGAAACAACAGGAACCAAAACTCATTAATGTCGGGCTACAAACCAGAGGGAAGCTTCTTTCTCAAACAGGGCTCAGGCCTAGACAAATCCAATTTTCCGAAATTGCTAGCCCGCAACAGCACTGAGATGGCCATCCCAGAAACAAGGTCAACACAGAAGCACCCAGACAGGCTGCTGGAGGTTGGGACAAAGAGATCCTTGCTGTCCCTACAGATCTCCTGACTTCCAAGGAGCTCCCCTCATACCCAGCCTGGCCTGCCTTCTCTACAGGGTAGCCGATCGTCAGCATCATCTTCAATGGTGTTGCCAAGAGCACTCAATGCTCCTGACATCCCTGTCCATCTCCACATGAGAGGAGAGGTTAGGAAGGAGATGAAGCCTGAAAGCCTTGGGAGGACAGCCCAGCACAGAGGAACACAGACACACGTGAAGCCAGGGAGTAAACCAGTAGGGCAGACAAGAAATGGAAGAAAGTAGCGACAGGAAGAGAGACAAAGAAATACGGAAAGAAATAAACAATAATGCAACAACAAAAAAAGAGAAGGTTTTTAAAAGCAAACCAAAAAATAAGAGTATAACAAAAAGGAGGAGAGCAGCAAAGAAAAGAAGTAATGGAAGAAGCTATGAGGACAAGAGACCATCCCTAGATTCCAAGCTGCTTGGTTCACTGTTCCTTCAGAGGGGGTGATGCCCAGGCACAGTGGGGAAGAAGGTATGCAGGGAGGGGAGGTGCTATCTCCATTCCCACTGTCCTTCCCCTCCTCAGGACTGGTCCATCAGGGAAACCAAGGACACAGGCTCAGGGGCATTTGTAGAAAGAAGCTCCGGAAGTTGTCAGATTTCAATACATCCATCCTGCCCTCTACTGCCAGGTGCCACCTCAGGTGTTCCCAGGCCTGCTCCTCTCCCCTAGAGATGTGGCTTCAGCTGCCAAGCAATTCCTATCAGTCTCGTCATTCTCAGGTGTCTTTTCCCTAAGCTCTGTGTGCTTCCCTCTGTACGTGACACTTTTGGGGGCACCCCAATCTTTTTCTAGAGGCATTTGGGGCTAAACTACACTTTTTACATTTCTGAGAACTCAGAGAACAAAGAGCAGAGGCCTAAAAACCATGGCCTGGTCTGGAATCCTGTAAATATCTTGGTTATTTGCAAAGGGAATCCCACCGTGCCTCTCTGTCTTCTCTTGCTGTCCTCTTCTGTGGAGGGGGTGGGTGGCTATGAGAGGACTTGGCCTGGCACCCTCTCCCTCTGTGGACCATTCCTGTCTCCTCACCTTCCAAATCACATGGAAGAGGCACAGTAAGTACTCACAGAAGGTGACCCAGTAGAATCCCAAGTCATTAGTGAGGGGCTTAGGCCTGGACCAAGGGGAAGCTTGATTCCAAGTCCCTCCCCCTTCTCACACGAAGGGAAGAAGGCTTGAACCCAAGTTCACATCCTTTCAGTTAAAATGAGCAGGAGCCAAACCTGTCACTGTTTCCTAACATGTGCTCCCACAGCAAAAAAGCAGGGGTGGCTCTAGAGGGAGAAAAAGCAAAGAGGGCACTTCACAGTGCAGTAGTGAAACCCAGAGTCACAAAGTCTCCAGAGGACGAGGCTCCTGGCATCCCCAGCTCTGTGCGGAGGAGCAAAGGGTCTTAATGGGCAGTCATTCCGAGCTGAAACCCCAGAGTGTCGGGCCCAGAAAGAGCAGGATGAAAGGGGTAGGGAAGCCCCCTGGTAGCCAGGAGGAGTCAGAAAAATAGGAGATGCAGAGCGAAGGCCTCTGCTAGGCTGCTGGCCTCCCACCTGGGCCCAGAGTGACCTCTTGCTGTGCCACACCCACTAGCTGCCATGTTCACTCCCCAAAACCTGGGATTTTCCCTCAAAACACAGATGGGGGATGCGGGAATCAGTCTGGTCAGCCAGTCTGGCTCTGGTTTTCATGGCCAGGGCAGCCTAAGTCACTCATGGCTCCCTAGCTGCCCTGAAGGCTGAAATACAGAGCATCTTTGAGGACATCTGCTCTATCTGTGGGAAGGAGGACAAAATGCTCAAAATGTAATAAAAGGAAGGGCCAGGACCCAAAGGGGTCTCACTCCCTGTTTCTCTGGACTCTCTGTGGGGTGCCTGTGTGCAGGATTTCTGCAGAAGATAGTCCATTTTGTTAAGCCTTTGAATATTCAAATTGAAAGTATCGCGCAATCATTGATTGTCAAATCATGGGTTTCTAGAGGTTTTAAATACTTGGCATGAGGGGGAAAAAACTCAAACCTATACCCGAAGGTATAAAACATTAATTCTGTTTGTCTCCTGCTCCAGGGACCTGGGTGCAGCCGGATGCTTTGTGAAACTTTAAAAATGTTGCATCTCTGCTTCTCTCCCTGCCCAGGAGCCCTCCCAGGCGCTGAGTCCCTGCAGCTGCAGCATCCAGCCACCGACCCAGCTCCTGCTGACCACGATGTCGGGTAACTCGGCTGCTTCTCCTGGGGTAGGGTCAGGCGGGCCAGGGGCATTTCAATCCGGGTGTGTTTCCACAGCTTTTCCTACATAGAACACAGAGGCACAAAGTCAAGGCATGCGAGTAAAGGCCGGGGATCCGGAGAGGGCGCGGGCCACGCTGTGGCTGCTCCCACTCAGCGCCTGTCCCGGAGGGCAGAGGCCCAGAGGCCGAGTTGGCCGCTCCGGACGTCCGCGTACCCCAGGCCCCCGCCCGCCCTACCACGTATCCACTGTTGTGTCCTGGGACATCGCGGCGCGGACCCTGCGCGCCCAGAAGCGGCGACTGGGGGAGCTAGAGGCTCACAGTGAACCTGGGACCGGGATAGAGCGCGCCGGCTGCAATGAGCCTAGCAGTGGCGGTCCCTGCGCGGACCCGAGGGACGCCCGCCCGCGGAGTCCGGAGCCGATCGAGGAACAGGGTGGTGGGGCTGCGGTAGGCTGGAGCGCGGAGAGAGCGCGGCGCTTGGGCCCTGCGGGCTGGGCACGGGATTCCCTGGGTCCGGGCTAGGAAGAGTGCAATCCCCTTTCCTAGGGAGACCCTGGCTCCTGGAATCCGGCTTGAGGGGGAACCCTGCTGTCCAGCTGCGGTCCCCGCAGTGACCAGGCGAGGCGCTGGCATCCTGGCACTATCGCCAGGCGCCCAGGCTGAACGCGCGACCACCCTCGGCCGCCGCACCCAGCTCCTCCCCGCGGATTCCTGGACGCTCACTGCAGGGTCGTGGTCAGGGCCGGAGCCACCCAGGACTCCTGCGGCCACCTCCACCTTGAAAGCTCGCCCGGCCGGCTTGGCCAAACAGCTGGTCCCCAACCTACTCACTGCGGCTCTTCGGGACCCGGGGCCGAGGCTGCCCCTGCACCCGGCGCGCAGGGGTCCCTCCCAGCGAACCCCTCTGGCGCGCGCCCGCCAGCTCCCGCAAGCTGGGGCAGTCCGACCGGGCCCCGCCAGCCCGGGGGCGGCCCCTAGCGAAGGGTGGCCTCCCGGCCGAGTGCAGGGTCATCGGGAGCCCCGGACGGCTTTTCCCAGCTCGCGCTGCGCGGACTCGCCCCGGAGCCTCAATGCGCCTCGGAGAAACGCCTGCCCCAGAAAGGGAGGGGGTGGGGAGAGAAGGGAAGAAGGGGAGAGCACGAGCGGGGGCGAAGGAGGGAGGAGGGCAAGATGGAGCGCGAAAAAGGCGGAGAAAAGGGGAGAGGGAGAGCGCGCAGAAGGAAAAGACAGAAGGGAGAGAGGGAGGGAGTTCCTCGGGCCTGGCCCCTTTACTAGGGTCAGTCTGGCAAGTCACTCGTCGGCCCAGGACTGGGCTGGCCAACCCTCACCGCTTGCTCCAGGGCTGGCTTCCAGACCAAGGGCACACAGAGGTCGGAGACTCTACAGAAGCCATACCTGGCCAGGTGGAGAAGGAGGGGACTCGGGACTTCCACGCTAGTGGGAACAGCACAGTGGGGAGAGCTACATCAGACGCCATAATCAGAGGAAGCCCCCTGCCCCAGGCCTGGCCCCTCCCCAGGTCCATAATACACTCTCTCAGCGGGCTGGGTCTGAAAGCCTAGGTTCCCCCGGCCTAGCCAGAGTGGTGGGCTCCACTGCACTGGTCTCCACATTCCAGAGCAGAAAAACCTGTATGCTATTGGCCTAGGACTGAGGCCTAGCCAGGGGTGGGTGGCCTCACAAATTTCCATGGGTTCTGTTCCCACTGGGGCCCTGAAACCTGTTCAGCCACTCTTCATTCTTTCGAGTCTGAGATGTTTGGGTTTTTACCGTCCTTTGACATTTTTTGTGTGTGTTCTCCGAACTTAGAAACTTGACTTTGGGTGCTATTGCCTATAAAAGGGTCCCCCACTCTGCACCCTGGCACCCAGACCTTGGACTCGACCACTGACTCAGTTGCCTTTCTCCAGAAAAACCGAAGGTGTATCAAGGTGTCCGAGTGAAGATCACAGTGAAGGAGCTGCTGCAGCAAAGACGGGCACACCAGGCGGCCTCCGGGGGAACCGTAAGCATAAGCCCTTCCCTCACTGGGCAGCCCATGCCAGGCCTCTTTCAACCCTGTGTCTGCAAGGTGTGGAGGCCACCCAAGGCCCCACGCACTCACCATCCCCAGACCTGGCCTTTCTCTGCTGTTCCTATGACTTCTGTAGCCAGATGCATCCCAATCGGAAAGCTACAGAGGACAGCTGGGGCATGTCGTGGGTCTCAGGATTTGGGGGAGCCCATCCATCCCCCATGAATGAAAGTAAAGTATAAAAAGTGTGTTGGTCCTCTGCAGGGGGAGGAGCGGCCAGCAGGTAAGTAGACATCGTTTTGTTAGGAAGACAGTGTATGGGAATGTACAGCCCTTGCAGACCCATAGAAAATCTCTCCCAGAAATTCACCTCATTTTAGGGGCCCCTTCCAGGATAGCAACTGTGTAGAACATCCTCCCTTCCCTCCTCATTGTTCTGGAACTCACCCTCTGAGATTATTTATCTGTAAATCATCAGTCACCCAAAGTATCTAGCAGAAAAGGGCCCTGTCTCTGCAGAAAAGACAGCTGGAGTACAGGACCACTTCCTTAAAATGTATCAACACCTTAAGCAGTTCCAGGTTATTATAAAATTGAACTGAGCAATGACTGCTCAGTTATGAACTGACACTTTATACACCATCCTTTGGTGTATCCTTACTGCCAAAGGCACTCAGGGCAGCAGCAGAACCAAATAAACTAGGTGAGATTATTGCCCAAGAGAGGGCAGCTCATCCCTAAAAAGCCTCCATCATACAATTGCTTGGGGGTTGGTTTGGGTGTGAATGTAGGATCTGACAGCTGGGGCTCGTATTGCCTGTTAGGATTGGTCCTTCTCCAGCTCATTGGTATCGGCCCCACAACAGTTTTTGTGCCTGATACTGTTCATGTGCAATGCATGACTTCATGAAATAGGCCTTTGACAGTTGAACTTCATGAAATGGGAGGGGGCAAATGATGTAGGGGAGGTAAACACAGTTTCCAGAACCAGATGGACTGGGCTCAGGTCTCAGCTCCTCCATGGTGTGTATCCTCAAGCAAATTACCCAGTCTCTCTTGCCTCTGTTTATTCGTCTTCAAATTGGGGATGATAGGATTTTGTGAGGGTTAATCGAGTTATTGCATACAAAGCCGTTAGAAGAATGCTTTCCACATAGTGAGTGCTCAATAAATGTTAGTGGTCATTATTTGAGAAATAATAATATTATTTGGGGAAAGCAACTAAAATAAAATTCCAACCAAGGATTGAAAGCCAGCTCTTTGGTAATGTTCATTCATACCCTTTGCTCAGAGTTTAGAGTTCAGATGTGAGCCAGCTGCAATTTGGCATATACAGCACATGCAGCTGGAAAAGCTAGGACCTCCATGTGCAGAATTTCAGGTAACACATTAACACTCCCTTATGTTTCTAGAGGACTTCACAGTGGTTCTTCTTTTAAAGCACTTTGGCACAGCCACTATTTCATTTAGTTTTTATAACAGCCAGCAGAGGTAAGTAGATCAGAGATCCGTCCTTCGATTACAGGTAAAATTCAAAACCTTGAAGTTGCTCGTGGCGACGCTAAAAGTAGGACTAAGGCCTTATTCTTAGTGTAATATAAAAACCCTTCCGTTGGCTCTTTACTCTCTAAATTCATCATTCTGCAGATCTGACCATACTAAGCAGGAGTCTGACAGCCTCAACCCCTTCAGTTCAGAGATGGTTAATTAATAAAACCAGGTACAAGGGAACTGGAAAATGCTTCTGGAGAAAAACGTCATCAAGACATTCATAATAAAATGTAATGTTTCCCTAAGGAGCTTTGGTCCTTGGTAGAGTTCTGCTCTAAAATGTAACGTTTCCTTAAGGAGCTTTGCTACTTGGTAGAGTTCTGCTCAGCTGCACCTGGGGAGCCCCTTGTGAGTGTGGCACTTGCTGCTGGGCCCTTACAGATGGGTCTGGCCACTGTTCCCTTCTTAGCTCACTACAGGAGCTAAAGCAAGGGTAAGACATTTCATTTGTGTATCTGACCGGTTTCTTATTTAAATTTTTCTGAATTCCCTCCTGAGAAATAAAGCAGGACTTCTGAACCAGTGTCTTATAGGAACAGCAGAGTAAAGCCTGCTCTCCTTTGCTTCCCAGAAGACTGCATCAGCCCAGGGCCTCGCAAGCAAGTAGGAGTAACACGCATATAATTTAATTACAACAGCCAGATGTAACATCCCTCACTGGAAGCCATCGGAAGGATCTGGGATTCTAAGGAAGCTGTGAGAGCGCACTTAGTAGGCAAGGGTAGCAGATACCAGGGGATGATGTGTGCCTGCTCCTTAGTGTAGGCCTTTCTGGTATAACAGAGATGATCCCCAGTTTGTTCATTTGTTGAAGGATGCCTCTGGGGAACTTTAAGCCAAGGAAAGAGTTAATTATATCAAATACTACAAAGCAGCAAGAAATCTATCTTAATTTTTTATAAAGTCAGAGTAGTATCCACAATTTGAAATTTTAAGAAGGCAATCATGAATGGAAGTTATAGGTTGAGACAGATATTCAGTAAAGAACTCAAATATTCTTCAAGCAGTGCCAGAAGAAACTGTGTGTATGCCGGATTGGAACACTTGATTTTAAAAAACTTATTTCAGCCAGATCAATTTGCAAACATGTGCATGTGCACACACACACAGACACACACACACTTGCCTTCGGGGTAAAAGGAAACTTGAGTTAGTCATTATCAAAAGATATCATTTACCTTTCTTTTTTTAAATCCTTAATTTTTTAAACAGTCTTGATGTGTTTTTATACATTGTAGATTGTGAATTTTTGTGCTGTTTGAAATCTAAGACAGAGTTGCCTTTCTTTGTATTCTTGGAGCAAAGTAGAAAGCGAACCCATGACTCGAAAGATAATATCAAGTAGGATATTGTAAACACACCTCAGGGAGATAACATGGGGAGGAGGCAGACAAACAGGCC